ACACCAGAGTAAGAGCATTTTGCTTCCTGCCAGTCAAATCTCCAGAAATATTTTAGGGTTGGGATTATTTTGGGCTTAATTCTATTAGGAACTATTTGACTCCTATTCCAAGTTAGCCAAGGCCAGTGCCAGAAACTGTGACTTCTTATAATGGCCAAAGAGTCAAATGGATCAAATGTCAAACTTATCTTCCAAGCTGCCAGTCCCTCCCAGAACCCGCTCACTCACACTCACTCACAGATACGGACTTTGACTATGAGTTGACTGTTCACTTGGTTCTGGTATTGCACTATCTTTCAAATAGTTGAAACATTACTTGGTCCAATACTTCACAAAGTCCCCTGTAAAGGACAGAATATTTTCTTCCGAGCGGCTGAAATAAAAAATTCAAAATGAAGGCTCAAAACTTGCCTGTAATGAATCCTCATGTGCAAATGAAGGAAGGACTGGCCTATAGTCCCACAGTCAGGGTATCAGACTGGCACACAAGAGTCCAAGAGAATTATTTCATGGCCAGTTGAAGTGTACAACCATGGTCCCCACACCAACCTCCCAACCATACATGCCCAGCTCTTCCAAATCTTGCCCTTGTGTCTGCACTGAAAACTAACACCACTAAAGTCATACAAAAATAATTTCCAGCTGGATCAATGGGATGATCTGACTCACCACATACCCATACAATTGCTAGTATCAACTAAAGAGAGAAGCTAAGAAAGACTCAGTGGTGGGTAGTACCAGGGACACCTCTTTTGGTATTTCAGGCAATCTTGAAATCATCTCTCAAGACTTGTCTCCTGCTTTCCCAGAGATCTCCTGGGAGACCTTCCACATTTCCCTTGATCTCTCTGTGCTTCAGCTTCCCAACTGTACAGTGCTTCCCTCCTCACAGAGACACTTTGAGGGAAAGCACACAAGGGCTGACACCCCTTTGGACTGATGCTGCATAAATAGGATCAAACTTTACAACAAATCGAAAAGTAAAAACTGATGCCTGAAACCGAGAACTTTTGAAATAACTAGAGAATATATGGTAGATCATGTACTGTGCTGCCTTGTGCTTCTGTTCTGATGTCAGAGGAGGCACATAAATCAGAGTGGAAGCACAAGCAGCAGCTCTACTCTATGCTGATACCTCATCCGACTTGGCATCCTTTCTTTAAGTGGGATTGGAAAATAAATTTGTTCATTAGGCTATAACTTTACATTTTCTGCATTTTCAGAGTTTAAAGTAAGGTCTTACTGTATTTCAACTGTTTTTGATGATGGCTGAGTGTATGTGTGTTCATAGATAAACAAATGTGTGCACCTGCACATCCACAGGTATGGAAAAGGGCCAAAGACTAAAACTTGCCCAACTCCCTTACAAACAGACCACGCTGAGTCAGGTAAGTAGATATTACCAGGTAGTCTATATTCCACATTAGTGAAATGGAGCTATCAGAAAAGCAAAAGTATCTAAAACCATTAGAAGCTATTTTCATAGCTTTATGCCTAAAATCATAACATAATTATGTTGAGTCTTTCCCATCTTATCTCCTTCACTGTCTCCCCGCTTTTTCTCCAGTTCTCTTCATGGAATTAGGCTCATTTTAATGTAATAGGATTATATCCATCTGACTTCTAACGGGGTACACTGATGACAGCAAAACCTTATCTATGTACACAAAACATTTGCCAGTATTTGTCTCCTAAGACAGCAGAGACACAGATAAAGCCACCCAGAAAATAAAATAAACAAACCACTCCAAAACACCCTCCAGACTGTGAACCAAATCAGAGGTCAATAGATCTATCAAGGTCGATGACTTTACATGTGAAAGGAAAAATGATCTGCTAGTTAGTCTGCAACATCAATGCTGAGATCCTGTTATTAGTACAGGCCTCTACACAATTCCTCTTTTTGACAGAGATAACAAAAATATTAAGATAACAAAAATATTGCACAGTTTTGTCTCCTCCCCACTCTCCACAAGATAATAACTACTCTTTTACTTTCTTTGCTTGAAGGTAGAGGAGATACACTAATCAACAGAAAAACTAATAGCTGTTCTAGAGGGGAAAAAAAATCACATAAAAGAAACCCAAAATATCTGAAAGTTTAGTTTCATATGTAGCAATTGCATTACTGCCAGCCAGGCTCTGCTATGCCATTAAATCTCTCTGGCCTGTTACTGCTTTCATTATTCCATCTCAGAGAAAGTATTAGCGAAGCAGTGGTACTAATGCAGCAATCTGCATCAGCAGTTGCCAGCCAAAGGGAGGCAAAATATCATCTCTAACGTAAAAGGAGAAGTAGCGCATAGAGGGGCACTGGACTTCACAAGCTCACACAGCTCGGCAGGAGCAGGGACCCCAAACCGACACCTCCCCGCTGCTGCCCCGCGCTGGGTACCTCCCTCCGAAGATAAACCAGGAAAGCATCAGATTGCCCCTTTCCCTCCAACCCCGTGCACAAAGCACTATCAACCCCAGATGAACCCAACAGCTCCGCTGCTTGCTGTCACTCCCAAAAGCCAGACTCCTCGGCAAGGGAAAAGCAGGTGCTGCCCGGGCCGGAGGACCCGCTGCCTCCAGCGGCTCAAACGATGGGCGGGGCAAGCCTGGCCTTCCCCTCAGCGCCGGGAGCAGTGCGCAGTGC